ATGTTGGTTTTCTCTTGAAGGTCAAAACGATGTTGGTTTTCCGTGGTCCCGTACTGTAGGACCTGAGCAACCCGTGAATTGACTGAGCTGGTTTTCCAGTGCATCCCTTCTGAAATGGAGGGCGATCCGGCCAATCCTAATCCATAGGTGACCTTTGGGAAGAATCGATGGGTTTGCCTGGTAAATGGTTTATAAACCAACATCTAAACCAGTGGAACCCATCTAATTCTTATCAAATTAACCGGTCAAAAGGACACCTATGACCTAAGGACAACCAAAAGGAAACCCGACATATTATGCGTTTTCGGGCCCAAATCCCAAAACAGACCAGAAAGGGAAGCGATCTTAAGACGAATCCTGACTTCCACACTTCTATTGGCCAGATGTTCAGTACCCTTCTCCCCTTTTCATTTGGCGAGTTCCCCGCCAAAAATGGTCCTTGGCCCCAAAAGGGCTGCCTTGTTCCACCAGGTTCACTGGATTGAGTGCTCCAGGACGCCAACATCTACGTCGTGGGTCCTGACATGGATTCCTACCGGGAAGACATCCAGGCGGTGGCAGCCGCCCGGCGAGGCAAGGGGGGGCTCAACGTTCTCAGCGGGGAATGGAACGATCCTGAACCATCCCACAGCCCTTGTTACTTTTTTGAGGACCAGCAGGCTTACAACTTCCTCTGGTAGTCCAGCCCACTCGAGAGGGGAGTGGGAAGTTTGCGGCCTTTGGTGCATGAATGGCTCTTATTGGACCACTAGTCACTAATAGATCAATGTTAGTGTGAAGCACACTGCTTTTGCAATTGGTTCAGGTGTTTTTGAAAAGTGGCGCCATGTTTGAGACCTTGGTGTCATGTTGCCTTTGACAGGGGTTCCCAAAGAGGGCCACCATTTTCTCAAGCCCAATTTGTTCTTGGTAGTTGACCCGACGCGACAGCAAAGATGGGTTACTTGTTGACTTGTAAGATTTTGAAAGGCACTGCCGGAGGCGAGGCTGAATGAAAGGAAATGAGTGCTCCTGGGCAGAAAATCAGGAACGTGCTCAACGGGAACTGGGTTCTAGGACCAACAAGGAAGGCACCGAGCGCCCGATGCTTTTGTATTATTCAACACCCCTGTTTACCACCCACTGACTCAGCTACGTTGAGGTGTGTTTGCCAAGATGACAACTCGCCGCTGCTTTGAGGATGGCGTGTCTTCTTGATACGCGTTCACCACAAAAACCATCAGAGCCCAGAAGCCTAGCATGTGCCTTGTGAGGATCGGCTCAACTACACCCTCCGGGACTTCAACTACACTGACATGCCCACGGCGTCAGAGTTGGCACACCTGGCATGCAGCAACAGACGCTTCATGGGAAGAAAGAGGATCACTGCACGTACTTGTCCCACTTATCCAGCGGCACCTGAGCCACCGGGTAGATGAAGGTTGGCAAGGGGCAGTCCCAGCCGGAAATAGTTGCGGCCGCCTTTCTATTTCTTTATGTGGTTCTGGGTTCACCAGCTTTGTACCAGGTTTTGAGCAAGTGACTCACCTGTTGTTCCTTTAGAATAGCGGGGGAGCCTTTGAACTCGGCCAGCAAGAAAGGTGCTTTTATCCGTCACTGTTTCGGGATTTGAGCGTGTGCACCGTGACCAAGCTTGTGCCGGCACAAGTCGACTCTCTTGCGGTTCTCTTTGCTCCTTGGTCGGTTTCCCCAAGTACTGAGACCCGGGCATTGAAATGTCAACAGACTTCCAACAGGAATCCGTCGCCTTGAAAAGGCGTCCCCCATGGTTGTCCCAGCTAATATGGCCCAGGTCCACGCTCAACAGACCTGGAAGTGCAGCGCCCTTCTTTGGGATTCAGACCACTTTTCGAGGAAACACCTTCATAGGGTTCTACTTAGATCCGGGGACATTCTTGGAAGGCTACTTGCCTTTTGGGAAGTGTTCCCACGTCCATGTTTGAAACGCTTGGAGTCCGTTTGCTGGCCCGGCAATTCTGGCGCGAGCGTTTGCCAGACCGGAATGCTCGAGAAAGTGATCGTGATCCCTCCACTTACGAGCCGCTCGGCGAGAAGCAGTGGCCGATAGGTGAGAGGAAGCAAATGCTTGTCCCATCAGGGACTTGGGCAATTTCTGGATTGGTGCATCCATGTTTTTTGGTCGGGCAAGCCCCGCAATTGAATAGTCATTCGAAGAGCCTGGGAGTTGTGAATGGCGTTCGAGTACTGGGCAGGTGCTAAATCACCCGTGGCTATGTACGATGCGGAAAGTAAACCACCCGTTTAGAATTGGTTTTGGAGCGTTGCTCCAAACCACCACAACTAATTCCTAAAGCAACCCTAAAGGCACCGCTAAACCAGCAGCACACCCAACACAAATCAGCTCCAAGCCAACCCCAAATCCACCCAAAGTCAACCCTAAACCCAATCAACCCCAAACCCCCCCAAGACCCATCCTCATGAAGATCTAAGCCAGCTTAACCAGCCCCCAGCAACTCCCAACTGTCTCCCAATCAGAGCCAATAGGCAACCCGGGCCAAGTGAGGCTGGTGATGCTGGGGATGTTGCCAGCCCTGCGGAAGAAGCAGCCCTAGGCAAAAAAAGAGCCCTGGGAAAAAGCAAACACTACTACCGTTCCTCGGCATTTCTGCTGACGCATATTGGTATGTTGTGGTGTCCCTTGCCACATGAAAGCGCTGTGGGATGGAGTTCCTTCCGACCATCTATGACCTGTACGTGTATATAATATGCACATTTATACAGTTATACAGAGAGAGAGAGAGAGAGTATGTATATCTAAAGACACACAATATACATATCTACATATATATAGATGTAGGTATAGATATAGATATAGATATGTGGTCGCAACCCGCCATGAACTACCTGTGCCCTTGATTGTTCATGGGATGGCAAACCCTCCGTTGGCAAACCCTCCGCCTCGGCCAGAATGCTTCTGGCTGGCTTTGAGGTGCTGTGTTTGGGTTTGCCTTGCAGTGGGGCCAAGAGGGGATATGTAAGGAATTTGACCGGGTTCTAGGGACCGGTGTTTAGAGAAGATTCGGTTCCAGAGCGGAGTTTGACGGTTTCTAGGCGGCTTCTTCTGGCATTTAATTGCGTTTTTTGGGCAGATTTGACTGGTTTCTAGAGGGGGCTGGCCGGTTTGCAGGGGGATTGGCTTGGAGTTGGACTGGTTTTAAAGGGGGCTTGGCTGGGTTCAGAGGAAAATTTGACAAGTTTCTAGGAGAGATTAAACCCGTGTCTGCGGGAATTTGTGCCGGAGTTGGACTGGCTTCTCAAAGAAAGTTTACGCGGTTCACCACGAACTTGTGTTTGGGGAGAAGGCTCGCTCCATAGGCACGAACCTTGTACGTACGTACGCGCAGAAAGACAGACAGACAGGCACGGCAGGGGCAGACAGGCAGGCAGACAAACGACAGACAGGCAGGCACGGGCAAGCAGACAGACAGGCAGGCAGACAGACTCGACAGAGGCTCGGTCAGAATGGCCAGTAGTCTTTGGTCCAGACATGGAGGATTTGCCCATGTCCTTTTATTTTGATAGGATCGTGTGAAGGGGCGCTGTGATTCGATGGCCAAGGCGTGACGCGTTTCCCTTGGAAGTTGGCAGTGCACGGCTTGGTGGCAACTCGGTGGACTAGAGCAAGCAATTGTGAGGTGTCCAAACAACCCACCCGACTTTGTGTGTGTGTGTGTGTTTTGCTCGTGTTTGTTTGTGTGTTTTGCAGGTTTGTGGTTTGGCGTTGTGGGTTGTGAGTACCCTTTTCATAGACACGGCTTTGGCGTTGGGAGTTGTATTCTGTTTTTTGGGTTGGCCGAAGAGAAGGAACATCAGAGAACTGCTTTTGGGGGTTGCCCTCCTCTGAAGCCTCCCTTCCATACTTGAATGCTCAACCCTTGGATCGATTTGCTCACCCGCCACCCAGGGATGTACATATATAAGCACTATCTGGTTGCCCAACACGCTTCACCTTTTGTCGGCTACTGGAAAAATAAGCATGTCCACCAAATGCATTCAAGATGTATGCATATGTATATGTATATATATATATATGTACACCGTTGTCTCATGGGCCGATGGATTGGAGAAACTGGGGACGCCAAGTTCCCAAATGGTAGAGTAAACACACATTTCGGTGTGTGTCGAAGTCGGCTTAGACACAGGAAGTACCGTCAAAATTACCTCTGTTGAGTTTAGTATTCGGTGTTTTATTGATATTGTGAACATGCACAAAACCATGGCAACCGCTAGGAGGTTACCCAACAAAGAGTTTAGCCTCGAACACATGACACACGTGGACGTTCAACACATTCTCATTGGTGTTCTCTTCCAGCTCGCATCATGACATGTGCTGGAGATGAGGCACAGCAAGTCGGCATGCCGCGGTTTGAAGTTTGGGCCCGACGGGAGACATATGACGGGACCTTTGCCGGGTACTCCAAATAGATTTGGTGCCCAACCAAAATGCAGGAAGCATGTCACCCCCAAGACAAGGCTAAAAACTCCTACAGCTCAGTGCGGGCCTCCCCACCTCTGACATGGAATTGGGGGAGAGGGGTGACCCCTGATATCCCAATGAGTCGTTTCATTTTCCCTATGCGGAATACTAGATAAATTGGCCCCCATTCCGCCCCGTGAAGCGGTAGTTGGATGTTTGAAGCCTTGGGACCTTGGGGTCCCTGGATTCGTTAGGTGTGGATAGATCCAGATGGCTGGGAGCGAAGAGACGTCGTCCAGAAGGACAAGGTGCGATGGGGTTGCCACTTTATGTTTTTTGTTTGGTTGGATTTTTGGACTTTAACACTTTTTGGTTGAAACAATAGGTTGTCCATTCAACCCACGACATGTCAAACTTGTTGCAGAGGGGTCAACAGCAACCAAGACAAGTCGTCGCACATCACAGCGATAGTGTTAGGAATTTGAACGCGGAGGTGGCCATGCATCGACTGCTGTTTGCTTCATCGGACCATGAGCGGCGATTCCAGTGCGATGTGTTGCGTTGTTTACCTAACGCTTTGCAGTGCATGTGTATGAGTGCCATGGTGATCTCAGTTCCTGTGCATTTGCGTGGACGGGTGTTTCCAGTTGAGTTGTTTCCAGTTGAGTTGCTGGTTGGTGTCTTGATTTCTGCACAGCTGTTTGAGTGATTGTGGATGGTGCTGAGACATGCTGGAACAACAACATTCGACATGGTTGTTGTCTCAGTTTTTTGAGCAACAACTTGATTTGGTTTCCCTTAAAACAGCAGGGCAACTGCTTGTTCACACGAATTTTAATCCTTTTTGGGGTTTCCCTTTACAGGATTTCCTCAGGAATTGCTTTGATCCACCACCTTTGGGGTTTCCCCTTAGAGGAATTCCTCTTGGTGTTTTTTGTGTTGTTGTTTTTTTGTTTTTCGCGAAACACATACAAAGCGCTTGCAACTTCCAGGTCTTGGTTGCAGAAAAGGGCCCTATGTGCGCTTTGATCCCCGCGGAGGTGCGGAAGAGGAAGTTCCCCAGGAAGAAGGCCATCTTCGGCCCGGAGAAGCCCGGGCGCCGAATCGAAGTCTGACGCGCCGGATCGAAGCAGGGCGAAGGTGTCCGCAGGAATTCGCGGGAGGATGAAGGTTAGTAAGGGATGATCCCAGCCATAAATAGCTGCGAGAAGCCGCCTTCTTAATCCTGTACATGGTTCTGGGTAGACCATTTTAGTACCAGGTTTTGATTGCGACTCAGGTTCCTTAAGACGACATGGGGGGATTTTTGGGCACCAGCTAAAGGCAATTGCAGAACCCTGACATCCATGCAAAGCTGAAATGGCCAAAACGACCCATTTCTGGAATGAATGATTTCTCCGGGCTTTGGCTCTCGCAAGCAACTGTTTTGGGGGTTCCGTCTTGATTCGGAATCATTTGAAACGTGAAATCAAAGTTGCTCTGGTTGCATTTTCCCATGGCCTCACAAAGGTTAGTTCGCTGTGGGTCCGATGGCTGATTTCCCTTTCCGATTTGGACTGTTCCTCGCACATTTTCAGTTTTTGTTAGCCTCTCTTGAGGCTACTGTGAGTTCCGTTTCGGACCTTAGCCACGTTTTGGGTCTGGACCATTTTAGTGGCAAACAAGCAGTTTGGTTACCCTTTTGGCCAATCCACCCAGGAAGTGAGGGAAGGTTGTGAAGGGAAAACGCAGAGGACCATCGGGGCGTCCGATTTGGCTGTGGGTCAAAACCAATGGGACCATTTTGGGGTGGGTGCACCACCCATTTTAGTCTATTTTAGTGGGGATTGGGATGTTCACTGGGGCTAACCGGGATTTTGACCCATGGCCATTTCTTTTGGGTCGGATCAGCGTGGCCATGTGCCGAATGGCAACTATATTTGGGCTCCATGTGATGGCCATCAACCCCTTTTGGGTGTTAAAACCAGAAGCGTTCCTAAGGGGACCACGACCATAGCTCAAGCAGGCCCAGCTGAGCAGTCAATATAGCTGTTCCCTGGCACTCTTGTTCCTTTTGCTGAGTAGGGGTTTTCCTTTCAAATCGACCCACCAAAAAAAATCATTTAATATAGCTGTTTGGCACAGGTGTTCCTTTGAGGGAGGGGTTCCCTATCAATTTCGACCCCCCCCAAAAAAACAAAAGGAGACAAAACCATGGCATTCGCAGTGTTTTCTGAGCTTTGCAGCGCAACAACTACATCCCAGGGAGCACCCCTTCTGAAAAAAAATGCGCGGCCCTCTTGCCCCCTTCGAATGCCCGGGCCTGGGGTTGCGCACCGAGGCCGGTGGACTTTAGCCTGCATAAGCCCAAGAACATCGAGCGCGGAGCTCGGGGAAAACCGAAGATTCCGACGCGTGGGTGGGTGGCAACCCCAGCCATCCGGTGCAACTTAGCTTCTCAGATCCAATTTTTTAGTGTTCAGTGTTTAGTTTCCGAATTTAACCCACTGAAGTTCAAGCCTTTGGCGGGGGATCTGAGGGCAGCCCAGGAAGTTTGGGCGCTCAGGGAAGTCAATGAATGGAGCCGGGCCCGAAAGTCCCGTGGAAGGGGAAACCGGAAACTGACATGTTTGAGGGTTCCCCAAGGTAGTTTGTTTGTGTATATATATATATGGTACAGCGTTGCCCCCCCCCCCCCCCCCACCAATGGTCATGGGTCAGACAAGTACCCCCCCCCCCCTGTGGTTGTGGTCCTGTGGTTGGGTTGTGGTGGTTTAGGGTTGGTTTAGAATTGGTTTAGAATTGGTTTAGGGTGTGTTTAGGGTGTATTTCGGGTTAGTTTAGGGTTGGTTTACGGTTGGTTTATGTTGATTTAGGGTTGGTTTAGGGTTGGCTTAGGTTTAGGGTTTATTGTTTAGGGTTTGGTTTAGGGGGTATTTAGGGTTCGTTTAGGGTTAGTTTAGGGTTAGTTTACGGTTGGTTTATGTTGATTTAGAGTTGGTTTAGGTTTAGAGGTCTACGGTTTAGGGTTTGGTTTAGGGGGTATTTAGGGTTCGTTTAGGGTTAGTTTAGGGTTGGTTTATGGGTTGGCTTGTCCTGGGGGTGGGGGTGCCGGGGTGTCGGGGTGCGAGTTCAGGGGGTCGGGGTGGGGGTGGGACCGTAGGTGACAGGATCCGGGGGCTCGGGGTCTCGGGCCGGGGGGGGGGGGGGGTCCTGGGGGACCCATACCATATGGGGGGGGGGCGGGGGGGGTAGCAACACGGAACACGGGACCATGCATTCCCTCCTGGAAATGATGCAGGATAATACATGTTGGTGCGATATGCTCCTGTGGTATGCTATGTCCTTGTCAGGCGCGCATGGTCAGCTAAAGCCCTTGGGCGGGCTTCGGGGCGCATGGCGCACATCAAGGGTGATCAGGGGTTCACATCACGGGGCATCGCTTCTCGCCTTTCGGAATTTCGGGCGGGTTCCTTGCAAAGGGAGCGGCATCAAGTGCGGCACCAGTGGAAGTTCATGGCTGGTCAGAAGAGGGCGTGTTTTGAGGGTATGCAGCATGCTGTTTGCTGGTTCCTTCAAAGAAAACCCAAGGAAAACCATTCATTTTGGAGGTCGCGTTTGGAGACAAACCCCAGATGTGCTCTAGCAAGTGCAGTGGTCGGACGGCCGGGGTTTCCTGCTGTCCTTGCTTTGATGCGACCTACACGACCTTCTGGCCCCATCGGGCACGACCAACCGGCATTTCTTGGGGTTGGAAGACTGGACGACCAGCAACCTAAGCTACTAACCTTGGAGCCTCGTTCCGAACGTAAGCTAGGTCCCGCAGCTAGGTGCCCATTTTACCAACTGTGTTGGTTGGGAGGGTTCCCCTACTAAAATAGACTGCAGAAAAAAGGGTACCCTTATTCTAACCTCTCTACTGGAGGACCTAGAAAGAGACACAAATCCTACCAGGCGCACGGCGTCTTCTAAGGATATGAATGCACACTCCTTTCGCGGAATCAATTTGGGAATGAAAACCCTGGATCCCTTGAAGCAACAACCGCTTTGGGAATGGTCAATTTGCGGAGTCATTCTCGTATTTCCCGGCTGAGAACCGGGACTCCGCCACTGTCCAGTTTTCTGTTTTTGAGGGATTCCCTTTTGCTTGGTTTTACAGGGAAGTTAAACTTAGGACCGCCATTTTTGCCCAGCCCTAGACTTGACTGCTATTGGGTTGGATCTTTAGACTTTAGCTTTTTGGTTGAAATCATTTAAGGTTTTCCACTAAACCCCCAAAAAGTTAAACACTTTTTGCAGGGGGTCGTTGCAGCAACCAAGTAGAAAGGACATACCGCTGTGGTCCTCCTTTGATCCGTTTTTCGCTCTCGAAACACGCCTCAGCGCTGCGGATCCCATCGACATGTGGCAAGAGGCAGACGTCCACGTGACTCGGCGATGAGAAAAAGAGGCCCTAGGTCTCCGGGTCCAGCATGCGGTTGGATTCGTTTTGGCGGGTACACTTTTGACATGGGTAATCAATGCGTTTGTTTCTCTATTGTTTTGTTGCGGGTACACTTTTTTGACATAGGTTAATCAGGGGAACACCAACCACCAAACCATCAATCAACCATTCAAGCAACCAATTAGAGGGAAACAAAGAGATTAGTATCAGGGTTAACCCCCCCCCCCATTTTGAACAACCCAGTACGAGTCGGTACGAGTGCTGCAATGTAACTTAGTCTAGAGTCTAGTGGCTGCCGGGTGTTTAGGTTTTGAGCATTGGATGCCACAGCACAGCTATTGTGAAGCAGCTGAAAAAAAACGTACCTCAGGTTCCCCTTCAATTGGTTCTCTGAAGAGTATTTTTCCGCTTAGGTTTCGCATTTGTTTGTTTTTGTTTCTAGCATTGCTTGGCACACAGGTTGCTCTTGCCCGAACGCCAGATGAATGGATGGACAGAATCCTGCACCACTTGAGAAACCACGGGAAACATTCTTATTTGGTATTCCAGGGAATCATCAAAAGCCAGGGTTTCTTAGTAAATTAGGTGGTGCAGGGTTTCGTCCATCCACAGTATCACTGGTAGAGAAGACCATGACGCACGTGTTCTTCTTGTTTGCGACGCCTTCCATCCTGTTGGTTTCCTCTTACTTTTTTGGGGGGCAACAAAATTAAATGCCGACGGGGGTGAAGCTGCAGGAGTTTTTTGGGCCAGTTCGGCACGGCCTTTCAAATGTAACCTAGCGGGTCCCTGCAAATTGAACAGCATGTTTGTGGGCTTGACGGCTTAGCCATCGGGCAAGTGAGCTACAGTTTCCATGCAAGTTGGGTCCCGGCCGAAGAGTGTAGAGCGAATGTTGATCTGGTATTGATACTCCGTCTAGATAGCCAAGTCGCGATCTCTTTTTTGAGTCACTGTTGCTGGTTTTTGGGCCCCGGGCTAAAGTGCATGGAAGAAAAAAACAAAAGAAACGATGGCACCTGGCGATCCAGGCAGGTATCATGTGGGGGGTGTCCTGGGTGGCATATTTTGTTCGGTGCTTGGGGCCTCCAACGGGCAAGTGATTCAGACATGATGCTGGCCCCCCGGTTTCAACATGTCAATCGATCACTTGGAGGGGAGAAAGGTTTGACACCTTGACGTGGGTGTCTCAATATTGGGGGACCCCCTAAAACCGTTGGTTTCTTCGTGGTTTTCTCGTAAAACCAGCCAAAAGGGGGTTCCCAAAAAAGACACACCCGCTTGGCCAGATGCTTCAATTGCTCTGAATGGTTCCAGGAAGATTTTGTAACTCCTTTTGTAAACCTCGACATGTCGCGACAACTGTAGGAACCCACGTGTGTATCCACGTCCGAGCACTTCACCCAACTCCCCGGTTTGGAAAGCTGGAAAGCGGGTAATACAGCCAAGGATGGGACCCAGAGAGGGCGTTCCCATGGCAGAAGAAAACTCTAGAGGTGCTGCTTTTGGAGGCTCTTTGAGCCTTTGGAATTGATATGAGCTTTTATTCAAGCCGACCCATGCCGCAACAACTCCATACCTAAGATCCTCACCATATTCCCTGTTAGAAGATGCCAGTCTGTCAACAGGCTGAATTTGTCGGCTTGGAGGCCTAGGAATGTGGCTCTGGTAGAAACAACAAACAACAAACCG